AGCTACAGAACTCTGTCCCCGCTCCCCAAACTGTCCCCACTCCGCTGTCCCCAGCTACAGAACTCTGTCCCCACTCCCCTGTCCCCAGCTACAGAACTCTGTCCCCACTCCCCAAACTCTATCCCCACTCTCCTGTTCCCAGCTACAGAACTCTGTCCCCACTCCCGAGGGTAAGTTTAGAAGATAGGATACACAAAGAACAAGTTAAAAATCACTTAGGAAAGTTAGATGTCAGCAAGTCACCAGGTCCTGATGAAATGCATCCCAGGATACTCAAGGAGCTGATAGAGGAGGTATCTGAGCCTTTAGCTATGATCTTTGAAAAATCATGGCAGACAGGGGAGATTCCAGAAGACTGGAAAAGGGCAAATATTGTGCCCATCTATAAAAAGGGGAATAAGAACAACCCAGGAAACTACAGACCGGTCAGTTTAACGTCTGTCCCAGGGAAGATAATGGAGCAGGTAATTAAGGAAATCATATGCAAACACTTGGAAGGTAATAAAGTGATAGGGAATAGCCAGCATGGGTTTGTGAAGAACAAGTCATGCCAAACTAATCTGATAGCTTTCTTTGATAGGATAACGAGCCTTGTGGATAAGGGAGAAGCGGTGGATGTCATATACCTAGACTTTAGTAAGGCATTTGATACGGTCTCGCATGATATTCTTATTGATAAACTAGGCAAATATAACTTAGATAGGGCCACGATAAGGTGGGTGCATAAGAGTTGTTGTTAACGGTGTCAGAGAGTTGTTGTTAACGGTGCTAAATCCTGCTGGAAAGGGATAACAAGTGGAGTTCCGCAAGGGTCTGTTTTGGGACCCGTACTGTTCAATATCTTCATCAGTGATGTAGATATTGGGATAGAGAGTACGCTTATTAAGTTTGCAGATGATACCAAACTGGGTGGGGTTGCAACTTCTTTGGAGGATAGGGACATAATTCAAAATGACCTTAGCAAGTTAGAGAAATGGTCAGAGGTAAACAGGATGAAGTTTAATAAAGAGAAATGCAAAGTGCTCCACTTAGGAAGGAACAATCAGTTCCATACATACAAGATGGGAAGCGACTGTCTAGGAAGGAGCATGGTGGAAAGGGATCTAGGGGTCATAGTGGACCACAAGTTGAATATGAGTCAGCAGTGTGATGCTGTTGCAAAAAAAGCAAATATGATTCTAGGTTGTATCAACAGGTGTGTTGTAAGCAAAACTCGTGAAGTCATTCTGCCGCTCTACTCTGTACTAGTTAGGCCTCAGCTGGAGTACTGTGTCCAGTTCTGGGCGCCACATTTCAAGAAAGATGTGGAGAAATTGGAAAGGGTACAGGGAAGAGCGACAAGAATGATTAAAGGTCTAGAGAACATGACCTATGAAGCCAGGCTTCATGAACTGGGCTTGTTTAGTTTGGAAAAAAGAAGATTAAGGGGGGACATGATAGCGGTTTTCAAATATCTAAAAGGGTGTCACAAGGAGGAAGGAGAAAATTTGTTCCTCTTGGTTTCTGAGGACAGGACAAGGAGTAATGGGCTTAAAGTGCAGCAGGGGAGGTTTAGATTGGACATTAGGAAAAAATTCCTAACTGTCAGGGTGGTCAAATATTGGAATAAATTGCCAAGGGAGGTGGTGGAATCTCCCTCTCTGGAGATATTTAAGAACAGGTTAGATAGACATCTGTCAGGGATGGTGTAGACGGAGCTTGGTCCTGCCTTGAGGGCGGGGGGCTGGACTTGATGACCTCTCGAGGTCCCTTCCAGTCCTATGATTCTATAAGGGGCCAGGCGGTAGATCTTCGCCTGTTCTGAGATTTAAAAAGTGACCTTGGGTGTAAAAAGGTTGTAGAGCACTGCTCTAATCTAAGGTGAATGCCAAAATATGCGCAAAAAAGGTGATAATTCAAACAAATAAGCCGTTGGGTGCCTTTCCATATCCTGGACAGGCCCATTTTGCCCTGAGTTAGGGTCCCAGCCTCTCCTATCAGACATGATTTCCCAAAAAGGGCTCCGTCCACTTTGAAGTGTCCATGAAGATGGAGGCAGAACTATGGTACAGCCAGAGGCAGGGCAGGGCTCCCTCCCTTGTCCAAATATCCTTGGCACAATCGTAAACTTCCATCTCCACCCGGTAGTCACCATCCAGTCCCTTCCAGTGTCCACCTGTCACAAAGAGTTTGCCTCCCAGTGGCACCATGCCTCCGTTTTCATGCAGCGTGTGAAGCAGCTGTACCTGTGGGAGATATCAGTCATGACCTAGGGCTGCAGCCCACTAACTCCTCATGATACATGAAATCCCAGGCTGTGTTTGACAAGAAGCTCTTTTTGCTAACTGCGCTTGCATACCCAGAATTGGCGGGGTGTGCCAGTTGAACTACAGCAGCACTTTGATTGTATGCAAAGGGAGCGCATGGCTCACAGTCAGTGCTGTGTGCAATCAGCTCACTCCTCTTTTGACATGCGCTGCCTTTACATGGGTGTCACTTTAGTAATAGCAGTCGGAAAAGAATTGCATTACCAGAAACCAGTGGAATCTGGCAACCCTGCGCGTGGCCAACAATAAACATGCATGGAACCCTGGTGGGCTACAAGTTGCCCGTTGCTGATCTAGGCCGAGCCAGAACTCTGGGTTCCGCTGTGCTAGGCACTCCACACGCCAGGAAAGCAATGGCACTTTCTGGGAACTTGCAGGCTATGGCAAGAGCTAAGACAGGGTGAGAACAAGCTGTGCGGAGGGGCAGGATGTCCTGACCAAAGCAATACCCGCAGTTGCAGGACTTACTGACCCCTGACACCAAGGCAGCTGGGTAGGATGACATGAAAGAAACAAAGTGAAGCTGAGGCTGGAACTGAAATCAGCCAAGTTACAGCCCATCCTATCTGCCCGCTCTCCCCACTTGCACAAGGATACTTGTCAAGCTAGCTCTGGCTTGGCCTTGATGCTGCTGCTAGAGCTGTGCAGGGTGACATCTGCTCTAGCTGTCTGCTCTGCAGGCAGAGAAGGGAGGAAAACAGTTCACGCTGCTCTGAAAGAGTTAACCCGTCCCAGCACTGGAACCAATGGGTGACCAATGGGGCATGGACCCTTATTCATGGGCAGAAAAAAAGGGAGGGGTGAGAGGGCGAGATTGGCAGGGACCGCTCTGCACCTGTCTGGAGTATGGGGGGTGGGCAGCTTGGTCAGCTGAGCACTGACGCCATGTGAACAGCTGCAGCAGGGTTTCAGAATGATCTTGTGTAATCCAACCCTGCAACAACATTGCACACAGCTCTACCAAGGCCAGTGGGGCCCAGGGAAGTGCTGCTGCCTGGCATCCCTCACTCCCAGTCAGGCCTTGCTGGGTCTCTGGGATAAATGTTTGGGGGGGCTACATCAAAGCGCCCTGCTTCCAGTTTCCCTTTGGCTGGAGATTCAGAGAAAAGGAGTAGCCTTGGTTTGAAATTCCCATTCCCAGGGACTTGGTGGTAGAAGCAGCAATGGCTGGGATTTTACTTTGAGCTGTGGGGAAACAAGTTCGGAGGGTCTCAGCTCACTGGCCCTTGCTTCAGCCCCAGTGAGGTCAATAGATGGCTGTGGATGGCATTAGCCTCCTGGCCCATTTGCCTGCAAGCTACAGAAGCAGTGGTCTGACGGAAGAACATGATAGTGCATCAGTATGGAGCAGCTTAGGATTGACTAGCCCTTGCGACCAAGCCTTACTTTCTCCCAGGAGAGGCTTCCAGGGAAGGGGTGCCCAGGGACTCTGGGCGAGGCATTGTGAAATCCACATGCACTGTCAAAAAGAGCCCTCCCTTCAATATGGCACTGGGAAAGCCATGTCCAGCCAGCGCGCCCCAGTGACCCACTCCGACCTACCTTCTGCCAGAGGTTAGCATCTGGATCATACACATACACCTTCTTTGTGTTGTCTCCAATGAGGTAGATCACTCCGTGCAGGCAGGCACAGCGCGGGGCGGAGAGGTACTTCGGGATGAATGGAGATGCAATTGCACTCCACACCTCTGCCAGAAACAGCCATTGTCAGTTAGGGAAGAGCTTAGCAGCCTTGACTAGAAGTGAAGGTAGCAGAGGGTGTTGCCGAGAGTCACCACGAGGGTGACTGACTCACAAGGAGAGTGGGCAGGCCCACCAGAATAGCTTACTGGACTGATTCTCAGATCATTTACACTGGTGAAAATCAGGAGTCATCTCACTTACATTCATGGAGGATTATGCCCTGTAACTAAGCCCTTATCATTTGGGCCTTGTCTGTTGGCAAGGTAGTCATGAGGGGTTCTCCGACTGATTAACATTAGCCTGATTACATTAGTGAGTGTAATTCACTGTAGGGAGCAAACTGTGGCCCTGACACCAGCTGAACTCTGGCATGGATGTGCAGAGGCAGAAGAGGGAGCATATTTTGGGATTGTCTCAGTTTATCTATCTTTGTGCTAGTTTCAAAGGTTAAAGCTTCTGGTGAGCCAATGTACAGATAATCTGGGCTATGGTATTTAACTCAGCGAATGGAGTGAAGCCACATATCTGCTTTTACAGGAGCTAGACAGCGTCGGTCTTGCTTTCACCACTCTGGTGTACCGTGTAGGCACAGAGCAAAGGGTGATTCTGGCGACTAGCTGTCATATGATCCCTTTACTCAAGGTATTCTAATGCACAGTCATTTTGCATGACTTCAGGGCAAGGTGTCTAAGGCCTGCTGAGGCAGAAGAGGCAGACGGATGCTATTGGAGGGTTTTTCAAACATGAGAGACAATAATAGTTCCAGAATAACTTTCCAGGCTGACAGACCCTCACGCGGTCGTGCACCACTGCCATCTCATGCTGATGTCACGGGCACATTTGTCCCTCTGAGATGTAGTGGCAGTGGGAAAGGGGACAGCACAGCTGGCTTTCCAATGAAACAGCACAACAGATGGGGGAAGTGTCCACATGCTGGTGGGAGACATGGTCAGAATGTGAGATGCTTATTCCCATTGAGGAACTGTTACTCACATAGCACTGCTATATAATAATTATACCCAGCTCTCTTGCCATGCTTTGAATCAGCAGCTCAGTGCTTTACAAAGGTGTCGGTTTCATGATCTCTATTTCACAAGTGGAGAAACTGAGGCACAGAGAGGTGAGGGGACTTGCTCAACATCACCCACAGACCAACTGCAGTGCCAGGAATAGAGCAGCTTTAGAATCATAGAACCCCAGAGCTGGAAGAGACCTCAGGAGTCATGGAGTCCAGCCCTCTGCCCACAGCAGGACCAATCCCAACTCAATCAACCCAGCCAGGGCTTTGTCAAGCTGAGACTTAAACACCTCTAGGGATGGAGATTCCACCACCCATCCCAGTGCTTCCCTGCCCTCTCTGTGAAACAGTTTTTCCTAATATCCAACCTAGACTTCCCCCACTGTAATTTGAGACCTTTGTTCCTTGTTCTGCCATCCGTCACTACTGACAACAGCCTCTCTCCAGCCTCGTTGGAACCGCCTTTCATAAAGTTTAATGCTGCTACCAAATTCCCCCTCACGCTTCTCTTCTGCAGACTAAATAAGCCTCTCCTCGTAGGTCATGTACTTCAGCCCCCTAATCATTTTGGTCGCCCTCCGCTGGACCATTTCCAATGCACCTACATGCTTCTGTAGTGGGGGGCCCAGAACTGGACACAATACTTTAGATGTGGCCTCACCAGAGCCGAATAATGACATCTCTGGATCTGCTGGCAATGTTCCTCCTAATGCACCCTACTATGCCATTAGCCTTCTTGGCTACAAGGGCGACTGTTGACTCATATCCAGCTTCTCATCCACTGGAATCCCCAGGTCCTTTTCTGCTGAGTGCTCTGCCCACCAGTGCTCTGTCCACTAGGCCACTCTGCCTCCCCTTGCCTTCAACAGAGCTAGCCATGTGAGTGAAAACTCACTAGGGTGAGTAAGAAGTTCACAGTCTACCCCCCAGAACCATTTCCTCAACTAGAAAGTTCAGGGCTCAGATGATAGCTGAGGCTGACTGTTTGCTCATCCATAATACTGTAAATCAGAAATAGCTTGGACACCAAACAGGCAGCATTTTTCTCTACTGACATTTGATTCATGCGCACTAATGTTCTTATCCTGTGTCTCATGAAACTCCATGCACTTAACTGCATGTTTAACCAGTTCACCGGCCCACTGCATTGTGCTGCAGGTGGAAGGCTGCTCCAGCTGGGCTGGGTGCCAGTTACCCGAGTGAGCATGCCGACAAGGAGACAGCTTACCAGGTAACTGGTTAACCCGTTACATCCCTATGACCCACGTGTGCTCCTTGCATCCTGATTTCATGGAGGACAACACACGTTTGGAAGGAGAGTGCCTTGATGCGCATGCACCAGGACTGTGCTGGGAGGAACTTTTCCAAGGCTCAGACCTTTGCATCTGAAAAACTCCTTTGTTCCTTCTCCTTACCTATGACAGGGTTGTAACACTGCAGGGTTAGTGCATTGTACTTGACAGCACAAGAGCCAATGAGGTAGAGCTTCCCCAGACATCCAGTTGCAGTGAAGTTGCTAACATACTTCAGGGCAGGACTGATGGGGCACCAGCTATTATTATAGGGGTCATAGCACTCCACTTCCACTGTGTCCACCGTGGTCCCTATATACCAAGAAAGGAGACAGGTGAGAGGTTAGCACAACTCAAGGAATACTGTTTGCATTACAGTAGCATCCACTGTGTTACACTCTGTACAAACACACACATGACAGATAGGCCATGACCCAAATTTCACTTCCAATTTCAGTACAAGACAGGAGGCAACAGGTGGATACAACAAACCGAGCGCGCAGGGAAACAATCTGATCAGAGCGATCAGCATGCCAGCTGCACCCCCGCAGTCAAGTGGGCTGTAGGCATCTCAGCAGGGGGACCTGAAGGGCAATGAGCTGGTCCTTTGAGTGTCTCCATGCATAAGGGGAGGGATGGGAGAAAGTGTAAATGCACTTGTTTAAATGGGCAACAGACTGGCATCATGTGCAGAACGAAGGCAGAAGCTGATCCAGGAGTGAGCCTGCTTACTGTGCATGGATGTGCCAATTGCCAACCTTTGGTAGATGACAGTGCATGTGGTCTTTGCATGTGTTAATGCCTGCATAGCAGCATGTGGTTGAATGTTGCTAGGCTGCAGTCATGCTGGTAGGTGCTTTGGTATGTTTCCAGTAGGTTGCATTCTCCTATTTTCTGCAATCTCTGCTTTAACTGAGCATCAAACACAAATATTTCAATAGGTATCTTAATAAACTTTTCCATCTGCTGTTTAAATCAATTGTTTTGTGCTCAGTTATTGTGAGACAAGAGAGAGGGGAGGTGGACAGAGAGACGGATGGCGCCTACCCCCAACGGCATAAATCTCTCCATTGAGGACAGCACTGGCGTGGTTTGTTCGGGGTTTCAGCATTGGTGCAATGGGTTTCCAAGTACCCTCCTTGAGATGGAAGCACCAGGACTGTGTGGTCGACCAGGTGTCATTCTGTGTCCCCCTGGAGCCACCTAGGAAGGAAACAGCCCATCACACACAGAGAGAAGGCGCTGTTGTCGGGCAGAGTCAACCCTGCTCTGGGTATTGGTCCTGCACTGCAGCTTTGCTCTTGACATCCAGGACTTTACAGGTATTAAATCAAACTGACTATCTAAACCAACTTTACAAAGAACCCAGCACCACAGGCTGCTGGCTGCAGCTCAATAGGACCCCAGAAAATAAAAAAGAAACTAATCTACAGCCCATGCAAACAAAAGGTCACCAAATTTAAACTCAGGAAGACTACAAGAGGGAGTAAAATCCTCAGGAGCGAGCCCTCTACTAGAAAGCCCAGCGGCTGTCTGGGCTAGTGAGATGAACTTCAGCAAGTACACCCTGGTGGGAGATAGAAGAGAAGGGGGTCTCTCCAAAAACCACACTGTGGGGGCCTGAAGTACAGTCTGGTGCATAATTAGTTCATGACACTGTGGTGTCATGGGCCAGTCTTCCTTTCATTGATTTAATGAAGTCAGTCAAAGAGCTCTACTATTCTACAACATGAGCACTGCTGCTCAGGAGTTATGTGAGACCATACAACTGTCTCAGAAATCATGCTTATTGACAGAGCGTCCTCCAGCTGCCATGTCAAGAATAACATTTATTCCATTAATTTGCCATTTCTTTTCTCTGTTTCATTAAACAGAAGGGAAAAAAACCATGTCATGGGGCCACCAAACCAGGCTGGTGAAGGGAAACACAAGGAATTCCAGTGGTTAGGCTCAGCAGAGGGATTGAATGAGAGCTCCACGTTACATACCTGTGACATAAACATCATTATTTAGTGCCACCAGAGAAAAGCCCCATTTATTGTAGTCTGGAAAGTCAGGAAGGGCCATCCATCTCTCTGCAACACAGAAAAGCCAGGTAATGAATCTAAAGGCTTAGCCCGGATCCAGGGTATAAGACACTCCATGCTCTAAGCTTCCCAGCAGGTGACCAAAAGGCAAGAACATGCTTTCTGTGCTGTGTAGAACAGTCCCTTTCCTCAGTAATCAAAGCTGGGCAAACTCCAGCAAGTTTGTGCAATACATTGAGCTGCACAACTGCCATTCCTTTCACTCTGGATATACCCTTGGGAAGCAGGAAGCCTAAGCACAACACCTATCCTATTCTGAGCTATTTACTTTGCCACCCCGCCCCCTCCCCAAGAATCTCCATACTGTTCATTGGGGGGGTTGAGGAATGCTTACAAGTAATTCTGATGGAACCCTTTCCCCTTTCCATCCCCAAACAGGGATGTCCTTAGGATCCACAGGCCCTACGCAGTACTGTTAAACTGCTGTCCCTTTGTCCAGTAGCAGTTTGGGGAAGATGATTTTTTAGAGAGGTGATTTCATAATCTTGAGCAGCACACTAATGAAATGGTTTTAAAGCAAATTTTAAACTCAGGTCCTGTAGACTCACAGTAAATTCCGAAACTGACCGTACATACCCGGGTTGGCAAACGCCTGTGAAATGGCTACACTACTACCTGTGGCTCTTTCACAGGTTCAGTGTTCTGCTAACAGCTCTGGCAGGCTGTCACTTGTAAGCTGACCAGATCCTGTCTGCAGGAGGCAGAGCCACAGAACAGGGAGAGGAAGAGGTGGGTCGGTGGACATTGAGATCCAGTGGTGCCCCACGTTTCTGGGTGCCTTACGCAGATGTATGGTCTGTGTGTGGGTAAAGATGGCCCTGTACCCAAATCAGGCTTGATGATGGGCAGGTAAAGGGGGCAGTTGTCCTGGGGCCTGGAGATTCAGAGGGGCCCAAAGCCTCTGGCTGTCACTGCCCTACTTCAGCAGCAGGGGCAGCTGGAGCCCAGGGCCATTGCACTGTCACCCAAGTGCCAGAGCACCGCACTGCATGGCTGGGGAGTGCTGCCGTCTGGGCCGTGATATGGACTGACTGCCCCAGCCCTTCTGGTGCACAGAGCATCCAAACATCTTGCCCCGGGGCCCATTGTGGCTGTTAGTCCTGCTGACCCAAATGACTGCACCTCCAGATCTTAACAAATTGAAAATACACCTACCATTCAACTGGAAATCAGCTGACTCTGTGGGCCTGCAAGCTGGTGGAAATCAACACAGCTCCACTGGTGGAGCCACTCCAATTTACAACTGCTGGGGATCAGGCCCTGTTACAGTAAAAGGTACTAGAATCTCCATGTTCGCCTCTTGCCTTAGGCTTCCCCCAGACCTGTCTGTGCTACACTGTCCCTGGCAGGAGGGAAAACCTGCCCCACGCCTGTGGAAATAAGTGGAAATGTGAGACTCGAAGCATGTGGGACAACTGCTGTGGGACTGGAGCGTAGGTATGATCTCCTCAGTATGAGTCTAGCGCACGGCTGTACTAAGACGGCTCTGCTGTCTGATGGCCTGACCTGCAGCCCACTGGAGTCTGTGGGAATCTTTTCTTTGACTGCAACAGACATTTGCTTAGGCCCTTACAACAAAGCACAGGGAGGCTGAGACCTGGCCATGTTCATTTGGCTACAGAGGGGTTGGGGTGGGGAGGAGAGAGAGAGAGAGAGAGAGAGAGAGAGTGTGAGAGAGAGAATTAGCTCTGGTCCTTGTGCACACGTCAGAGTCTCTTGTTTGGGTTCTGCCCTGTTTCTACACTCATGCTGCATCAAGTCTGACTCATGGGCTTGTCACCTGAAGAACAGAGCTAGCATTACCCCATGTGATTGCTGGTCTGCAGAACAGCCTTTCAGCTCCGCATCAGTCCGTGGGGAAGACAGCTGTTCAGCAAACGACAAAAGCCAAGGACACTCAGAGCATTACATCACCCTGATAACAGCTTCCTTCTAGAGTGATCTCGGCTGGTTATTGTGTGTGTCTAAATCTCTTTTGGAGGATTCACTGGGAGCTGAGCCCTTTGTTAGCCATGGCTCCAGGACTGCTCTTAGGCACTGAGACCTCTGACTCATTAAGGAGCTCACAGCTGGGTACAGACTTGGAAACGGTGACCAGACTCATAGCACTCAGGAATTTTTCTGTTTGTTTTTAATCTGCATTTTAGAACCACTGGGACAGTAGAACTGTGAGAGCTATTTACAGGCACGTACCAATATCATCCCCCTTTGCCGCCCTCTCTTCTCTCTGGCAGTCTCTCCATGCAGAGATCTTCCTCCATCCTGGCCACGCTAACCTCGCCACTCTCTGTCTCTCATTCCCGCCTCACATTTTCTTCCCATGCACCTTTCTGCTTTTCCAGCTAATAGGTCAGCTAGCTCCTTAGCACTTTGCTCCAGCTTTCTGCAATCAGGCTTGTCTCAGGGACAAATACAATGTCCAGTGAGCAGGCTGCTAGTTCAGCTGCTGGTTCTCAGCCCTACCACATGTATTTTACATACAACACTAGGGGATTGACCCCACCCCCACCTAACAGACAGGAAACTCTAGAAGTGCCAACATTTTCAGAAGTAGACCCTGAATTTTGGCCCTCTCTTTAAAACTATTGGGCCTAAGTGATGTACCCGAGGCAGAGCCAGAGCTGGAAGAAGAGGCAGGTTTCCTGATTTCTGGTCCTTCGTCCTCTCTAGGGGACCACATACCATCAGGAGCCGCTCTGATCCCCCTAACCCACAACAAGGTATGATTAGATGTGTGATCTCATCTTCTACTCAGTGGCTTTGGACAAGTGACAGGTAGAGGTTAAGAGGATACCAGAACACATAGTAACTGACAGAAATTTCTTTCCCCCAAAAGGAAGAGCTCAAGAGAAAAAGGCTGCATATCTACTGCTCAAAAAGCTTTTAGGGCCAAAATTCAGGGCTCTACTTGCTTAGCACTAGCCCAGCAGTTCAGAGGATGGAGGGTGGTTTGAATAGGACAGCTGGGGCATTCCCCATGTGCATGTATTCACTGCCTCACCCCTCCTGGTGACAATGAACCTGTCGCTCCAATCCGGCCATTATTCCACAGGCTGAACCACTGGACACAAGCCCGAGAGTAGCAAAATGGTGTGGCCTTCCTCAGAGTGGTGACAGGACAGGAAGAGGAAGTAGAAAAGGAGGACCCTGTAGCTACCAAAGCAGAGAACTGGCCACAGCTGACATCAGCTATCCTGAGGACTTGCCCAAGCTACCAGAGCTGCCAGCCCTGCCCCAGGCTGAAGAGCTACTGGGAGTGTTGCGAGCAGGGAAGCGCAAGGAGACGGGCTGGGCCCGGGGTTCAGATACATCGTGGGTGGAGGGGAGGAAGTAACCCAGTGACAGCCGACTGTTAGGGTTCCCAGATGGTTTCAACCAAAATGCCGGACACACTTGACATGATATCACAATCGACATTCCAGCTGATTTAGAAAATACCGGACAGTTCTATTTTCTCAATTTGTTTCCTGAACAGAAAGCTCTCATACTGGTTCAAATCCAGACAGCTGGCAACCCTACTAACTGTAGCCTGGCTACAGGTGCATCTGAGACATGTCGTATCATGTGTTGCAGAGGGCTTGCCTACCTGTCATGGGCTTGGGCTGGGGCACAGTGGAGTCAAGTGGGCCTATATCCTCCTATCCCAGCTCTCCCCCATAGGGTTGCCAGGTGTCCGGTATTTTCGCTTCCTGTCTGGCAAAAAAAAATCAGAAAATACCAGACACCTAAAATGTCCGGTATTTTCTGATTTTTTTTTCCCTGCCACAAGGCAAAAATACCAGACACCTGGCAACCCTACCACGCTCAACAACCGGGCCCAGCCCCCGGGTTCTCCCCAATCCAGCCCCTGGCCCCTGCCGGACCTTTCCCCCTCAGCCCCTTCGAGCACCCCTCCTCCCCACTTACCTGGCTCCGCAGAGGGAGCTCTCTTCCCACACATAGATAGCTGTAGCGGCACAGGAGCCAGCAAACAGAGCTGTAAACAGGGGAGTTTGAGTGGGAGTTTGTAAAGGGAGGTTGGGTATTGGGACTTGTTTGGGGTTTGGTTTTGCTGTGGAGTGGGGGGTGTTTTGGTTTGTTTTTGTCAGGTGGGGGGGGGTGTTTTGGTTTGTTTTTGTGTTCACCAGACTAATAGGATTTAGGTGAGAAGGCTGATAAAACACAGAAGCAGTAGTGGCCATGGCCCAAGTAGTACAGAAAACAAGGAGAATGACTGGATGTGGTAGCTGCGGTATGTACATGATTCTGGAGGGGGTACCTGAAAGGAGTTTTGTTTGCATGAAGTGCCGCCTGATAGAGTTGATGGAAGAAAAGATCCAAGGACTGAAAATGCAAGTGGAAACTCTGGTCGAGTTTAGAAGGGGTTTGAGCAGATGATGGAGCAGAGGCATGACGTGGCTGAAGGGGAAAGCTTAGATATGCAGATGGAAGCAGGATCAAGGGCCTCAGAGTGGGGGACTGCTGGGCGAAGAAAATGGACAGTGGAAGCATGTGACTAAGAGAGCCAGGCAGAGGAAAAGATGGGTCAGTGAAGGAAAAATAGAGCTCAAGAACAGGTATGTGCAGCTGGAGAATGAAGAAGGGGTACAGCAGGTAGATAATGAAGATGGAAGGATGAGGAAGAAGAGAAGAGTGGCTAGTTCCATAGATAAAGGGGAAGACTTAATGGAGACAACTAATGAGCATCAGGAGGATACAGGATGGGTTAAAGAGGATTACAAGGGGAAACAGGAATGGCAAGGACTTGCAGCCAGAGGAAGCAAGAGATAGACCACAGAATCGCACTGTCACTAGGAAAAGGCAGGTCTACGTGATTGGGGACTCCTTATTGAGAAGAATAGATAGGCCTGTAACCAGAGCTGATCCAGAGAATAGAAGGATGTGCTGTCTGCCAGGTGCTAAGATACGGGATGTGGAACTGAGGTTGAAGAGGATTATTAAGGGAGCAGGAAGAAGTCCATTGATCATCCTTCATGTAGGAACAAATG